GAACGGAGCGAATGGAATGGCATCAAACACATGTAAACCATGTGTTTGATGCATTTGATACCATTCTAAATGATTCCGCTCCAGCTATTTGCACAAGCCCGTTCTCCCCAACTAAGGTGCCACCAGCCTCCTGTGATGGGGAGGGCATGAACGGCAACAACAACGGGACACAGTGTCCTTCGCTCCCGCTTCACAAGCACTGCTGTCCGGCAACGGCGTGGGAAGTAGCTACCTAGTAGCCAATATCCGGGTGACAGCTGCACACGTATACAACGCATGAAGTACACCCATCATCAATACTTTTAATCAAAAATAAACAATTGTCAGTTTAATAAGTGAAAATTTACAATTATTTGTGTAAAACTGACAGTGAAATACGACTCAGACATCCTCTGGCTTAAAAACAGAAGTTCAAACTCTCGCGGTATGGTAGCTCAATGTACATACAGTTGAAGTCGGAAGTTTAGTAATAATAAAAAAAGTTTACATACACCTTAGCCAAATTTTACATTTACATTACATTTACGTCATTTAGCAGACGCTCTTATCCAGAGCGACTTACAAATTGGTGCATTCACCTTATGATAGCAAGTGGGACAACCACTTTACATTTTTTTTCTTTCTTTTTTTAAACTCAGTTTTCCACAATTCCTGACATTTATTCCCAGTAAAAATTCCCTGTCTTAGGTCAGTTAGGATCACCACTTTATTTTAAGAATGTGAAATGTCAGAATAATAATAGAGAGAATGATTTATTTAAGCTTTTATTTCTTTCATCACATTCCCAGTGGGTCAGAAGTTTACATACGCTCAATTAGTATTTGGTAGCATTGCCTTTAAATTGTTTAACTTGGGTCAAACGTTTCGGGTAGCCTTCCATAAGCTTCCCACAATAAGTTGGGTGAATCTTGGCCCATTCTTCCTGACAGAACTGGTGTAACTGAGTCAGGTTTGTAGGCCTCCTTGCTCGCACACGCTTTTTCAGTTCTGCCCACACATTTTCAATAGGATTGAGGTCAGGGCTTTGTGATGGCCACTCCAATACCTTGACTTTGTTGTCCTTAAGCCATTTTGCCACAACTTTGGAAGTATGCTTGGGGTCATTGTCCATTTGGAAGACCCATTTGCGACTAAGCTTTAACTTCCTGACTGATGTCTTGAGATGTTGCTTCAATATATCCACATCATTTTCCTTCCTCATGATGCCATCTATTTTCCTCCCTCTTGCAGCAAAGCACCCCCACAGCATGACGCTGCCACCCCCGTGCTTCACGGTTGGGATGGTGTTCTTCGGCTTGCAAGCCACCCCCTTTTTCCTCCAAACATAACGATGGTCATTATGGCCAAACAGCTCTATTTTTGTTTCATCAGACCAGAGGACATTTCTCCAAAAAGTACTATCTTTGTCCCCGTGTGCAGTTGCAAACCGTAATCTGGCTTTTTTATGGCGGTTTTGGAGCAGTGGCTTCTTCCTTGCTGAGCGGCCTATCAGGTTATGTCGATATAGGACTCTTTACTGTGGATATAGATACTTTTGTACCTGTTTCCTCCAGCATCTTCACAGGGTCCTTTGCTGTTGTTCTGGGATTAATTTGCACTTTTCACACCAAAGTATGTTCATCTCTAGAAGACAGAACGCGTCTTCTTCCTGAGGGGTATGATGGCTGCGTGGTTCCATTTATACTTGCGTACTATTGTTTGTACAGATGAACGTGGTACCTTCAGGCATTTGGAAATTGCTCCCAAGGATGAACCTGACTTGTGGACGTCTACAGTTGTTTTTCTGAAGTCTTGGCTGATTTCTTTAGATTTTCACATGATGTCAAGCAAAGAGGCACTGAGTTTGAAGTTAGGCCTTGAAATACATCCACAGGCACACCTCCAATTGACTCAAATGATGTCAATTAGCCTATCAGAAGCTTCTAAAGCCATGACATCATTTTCTGGAATTTTCCAAGCTGTTTAAAGGCACAGTCAACTTAGTGTATGTAAATTTCTGACCCACTGGAATTATGATACAGTGAATTATAAGTGAAATAATCTGTCTGTAAATAATTGTTGGAAAAATTACTTGTGTCATGCACGAAGTAGATATCCTAACCGACTTGCCAAAACTATAGTTTGTTAGAAATACATTTGTGGAGTGGTTGAAAAATGAGTTTTAATGACTCCAACCTAAGTGTATGTAAACTTCCAACTTCAACTGTAGTTGTTGCATTGTGGTAAACAGACAAAACACAGCTCAATCAAGAAGACAGATTTTGGGCCGATTTATCCCTCTCGCTTTGCCTCTTCCTCTCTGCCTCCATAGTGCCAAAGATGGTCCGTGAACACCAAACCACCCCCACGCCCATACCAACTCGCTTGGAGCGTTCCCACTAGATAGCACAGCCACAAAGTCAGAATTGGCTATATTGTAAAAATGTGTGAAAACAAAAATGTGTGTTTTGGTCTTAATTTAAGGTAAGTGATAGGCATAAGGTTAGCAGTTTAGTTAAGGTTAAGGTTAGATTTTAAGAAGATAAATTGTAGAAATAGGCAGGGTTTATAACGTTGTGGCTGTGTTAATTAGTGACGACACGCTCAGAGGGCCCTCCTTTGTCACGTGTTGCTGACTAAACTCAGAGGTTGACTTCCAGAGAGTTGGTGCTTTCAAAACAACTGGGAACTCAAAACGATTTTTCCCATTCTCTCCACTTTCCCACCTCCACAGACAGATTTTCTGTGATTTGGGATATCGCCTGTCTATTGATAGTACTAAACGTTCCTTGCTATCCGGAATCTTTGGGACGTCCCTACAGGTTCCTACTATTATACCTCAGTGGTGCCTACCCCAACACCCAACATACCTCAATGCAAACACCTTATCTAAACGGTAAATTAATCACATTGCGATAATTTCACACGCTGTCAATTTCGTTTCAGGATTTTTGAAGTATATTTTTTGTAAACATTATAACTTCTCTCTTCTCTCCTTTCTCTAATTTGTGACAGACCGATCTTTTTAAATGTGGATTGTTATACTCCAACAAACAGTGGCATGTATTTATGGATGCCAAGGCAAGTAAGGCTTCCCCAAAAAATGTAGAAAAACATAAAATAATTTCTGTGTTTCACAATTTTCCTTCAATTTGCAAGAGGTTGAATGTCTCTCACCAGAGAAAGCATCCAAGCGAGCAAAACAGCGCCCCTCTTTCTCTGTATGTGTAGCTCATCTATCTGATGCTGTCTGGTCAAAAAGAGTATGACATTGTTGCCACCCGTAGCATTGAATGCAAGGGAAGCCAGCGAGCATTTGGCCTCCCTTGATTGAAAAAAGGTATAAAATAATAGCCCATCAGCGTTCAGATCTATGAATGGTCCTGGTGCACATTTTTGTTTTGTCAACGGAAGCCAGTTTGGATTTGGTTTCACACCAATCACATCAAAGCAAAAAAACATTGACAGAAACAACTTGAATTGTTGCATCTCGTTGTATCGTTGTCCTCCGGTGGCTAGCTAGCTAGCTAAAATGTGCCCTTTCCTACATTAGCCATGGATGGAGATAGGGATTTGGACTTGTGGTTTTACTTCATTTCTGTACTGGCCAATGATTATAATGGCGATTCTGATCCAACCATAAATTCTTACATTGTGCGCTTGGCCTGAGAGGATGGATGTTCAATATGTAGCTAGATGTAGTAGGCTAATGTTAACTAGCTGGCTCATCATTGCCCATGAAAGGAAGTTAGACTAGCGAGCAAGCATTTTAGCCAGGAAGCCTCGGAAAACCAAAACTAAAAGCATATACTGTCTGATAGAGTCATAGACCGTTTCATCAACATGTAAGAGCGGAGGATGGCAATTGCGTTTCTCTAGATGTAGGGTGAGTCAACATGTTTTTTCTACACACACACACACACACACACACACACACACACACACACACACACACACACACACACACACACACACACACACACACACAAACACACACACACACACACATACACACACACACACACACACACACACACACACACACACACACACACACACACACACACACACACACACACACACACACACACACACACAGAGAGAGAGAGAGAGAGAGAGAGAGAGAGAGAGAAATTAGAACCATGGACAGCCACATCATATTTAGCTTATGTTGATTGGACTAAATAGTTTTTAGAATCTGATTATGTTAAAATGTTGAAGTTGAAATGGTGCTGGAATAGTTGAGGCAGCTCCTGTTTTCTTTGCGAATTGTGTTAACTCTCCATGGTTCTAAATCAAATGTTGTTTAGTAGTCCCAAAATGTTGGAAATATTAACATGCTTGACCGTGCTGTAAGTCATGTAATTGTTTGTTACATGCAATATGCTTTGTGGACTTCACCGGACAGAGGTTGCTATCTGGCTTTGTGATTAAACAAAGGTGTGGTTGAATTTATTCTGCTACTGTGTCTTCTTATTTCTTGGCCTTAGGCCTATATATCACGGTTGCAAGGCATATGAACAAACAGGTTATTGAGCAAACAACCCAATTATCACAACACATAGGTTGTAATATGGCTTTTTTTTCTGACTTGGCTTCCCCAGTGATTTTACCCACGCACCGCTACTGCCAAAGGTAATTATGAATTCCTAGTCACTGCCAGCATCATATGTCTTGTCAAGTGTCACTTACATAGTAATTTGAAAAAGCATTGAAAACTTAATGTGCCATGAAAACACTATCTACATGGTACCAATTCACCACATGCAGTTCTACTCTACTTCGTACTTCGTACTGATGTCTCTTGGGTTACAGTTAGGTGGGTTTTTCCTCACACAAAGACTGCTGTGGATGTGTGTCAACTGCATTGGCCAGCAGGGATACAGACAACTCCATCCCACAAGTCAACTCCATGAGAGTACACTGTACACAAGGAGCTTCGGGACTGGTCCTAAGGAGGACCTTGACCCCTCACCCCAGACTCTGACAACCTTAAACCCTCTCCCCAGACTCTGACCCCCATGCACACCCTGGGAAGTGAAGGATCCTTGTTTGGTAAAAGGTGACCGCTCTGGTCCCTGGAGAGGATTAGTCGCCTGTTACCCCAGGACTCCCTCGCCCCAGAGGTGTTGCTGCTGAGAGAGGAGGAGAAACAGGAAGAGGAACGAGGGGAACACGACGGGACAGGGGTCCAAAAAGACCACGACACCTCAGCAGTCTCAATTGCTGAGACTGAGACCCACAGTTCACCAGAAGAAGGAGAAAGTACAGAGCCAGAGGCACAAATAGGACATGACACGGTCAGAGCGAGAGAAGGAAAAAGAGGAGGGTAACACAGTACTAGAGTCAAATGGTGGAGCCATTCTCGAAGAGGGGACTATTTCATCACTCAAGGAGGGATACGTGACTCCTTTGAATGCCCACCCTTCTTCCTGGGGAGCATTTACTCACTTTCGGGAAACTGCTCTTGGCGGAGTACCGGAAGAAGGGCCGAGTGGAGTTTAGGAAGATGTTTCAGCTTCAGGATGGGCATCGTCTCCAGAGCAGCTGGGGCACCATCGGGCACAGTGATATCGCCGGGCTCCCTGCGGGAGACTTCATCCGGACCATCCACGGCACTCTCATCCTCATACACCGGCCCAACCTGGAGGAATACCTGCTGTATATGAAGAGGGGGCTGGCCATCACCTATCCAATGGTACTGTATGTAGCTTATGCTACTCTCTGGCACTGGAAGAGACAGAACTTTGTTTTCCATGAGTGCATCATGCTACGGAGCAGTAGTATTGTTGCTAATGGAGGGGGCCTGCAGTGCTATTACCAGCCCAATGGTATAGTCTTGACTGTATAGCTTGTGGAATTAGATGATTTGATATCAGAGCTTTGATTTTGGGAATCGCATAATTGCACACATGTTCAGTGACAATAGTATGCTACAACAGCTCATACAATAGCAGGAAACACTCACACTTCACATACTTGAGATTATATGGTGATCTGATTTCTCTCTTGTCCTCTCTCTGTCTTTCCAGGATGCCAGTACTATGCTGATGATGATGGACGTCACAAACTAAGACTATGTGTTGGAATCAGCCTCCAGATTGGCGGCCATGTCACTGTTTCTGTCCCGAGCTGGTTTGTATTTATGTAGTTATACACTGAGTGTACACATTATTAGGAACACCTTCCTAATATTGATTTGCACCCCCTTTTACCCTCAGAACAGCCGCAATTCGTTGGGGCATGTACTCAATAAGGTGTCGAAAGCGTTCCACAGGGATGCTGGCCCATGTTGACATAAATGCTTCTCACATTTGTGTCAAGTTGGCTGGATGTCCTTTGGGTGGTGGACCATTCTTGATACACACGGGAAACTGTTGAGCGTGAAAAATCCCAGCAGTGTTGCAGTTCTTGATACACTCAAACCGGTGCGCCTGGCACCTACTACCATACCCCGTTTAAAGGAACTTAAATATTTTGTCTTGCCCATTCACCCTCTGAATGGCACACATACACAATCCATGTCTCAATTGTCTCAAGGCTTAAAAATCCTTCTTTAACCTGTCTCCTCCCCTTCATCTACACTGATTGAAATGGATTTAACAAGTGACATCAATAAGGGATCATAGCTTTCACCTGGATTCACCTGGTCAGTCTATGTCATGGAAGGAGCAGGCATTCCTAATGTTTTGTACACTCAGTGTTTGATAGCCTAGCACACCCCAAATCAAAATTGGTCAAATCCATATGCCATTTCGCTACATGTAGAAAAGACCTGCAGGAAATCTGAATTGGAAAGATTGGCAATTTGTGTTAAACTATCCCTTTTAAATGTAATGTTGATGTGATGTTGTGTCATCTTTATGCTCTAAATGCTCTCCCCAGTAGGCTCCAAGGGCAGCGTTGTGAGTGTGGAGATCAGAGAAGATCACCACAGGAGAGCGGTGAACTGCTGGTATTCCTCCTGGAGCCTACAGCGAGGAGAGGAGTGGCCCGACAACGTCCCGTTTCACACCGCCGACCTGTAGGAGGCATTCTCGCTCTTCACTTGTAGTGTTTATTGTGCAATTCTGGTGACTTTGTTTGTTTTTATAGAATTACCAAGCTGGTTTTTATTGTGCAGTACAAGGCAAATCACCAGGGTCAGTTTCATGCAAATTCTCTATTTAGTAAAAAAAAAAGCTTTTTAGTTCAGTACTATAATCTGGGTCTGGGAAACCATCCTTTAGTGACCACAGAGTCACTTGAAAGACCAGCTTTCAGAACCTTTAACTGTGTGTTTGTGTGTTTCAGACTGCCCCCATTTGGTTTTGCCCACTGTGACACCACATATCCATCCCGGAGCAGTGTGTGCTGTCTACCTAGCCAAGTGAGTAACCTCAACCCATCCAAAAACAACCCCTAGCCCCTACCCAAATAAACACTTGTGGAGATCTGAGAGAATTTGATAGTAGGTGATATGGTAAAAGCTTCACCTTGCCCTCTGATAGGCTAGGTGGTCTTTTTTGCCATATTGCTTACACCTGTCCAATCCAGTCAGATCTCCACAGGTGTCTAAGCGGTTAGAGTTTTTTTTTCTTCTGAACAGGGCCCTCATTTCCTCATTACTTTGCATTCAAGTGTGTTTTCCCTTTTTTGAGGTACTTTACATATCTCCTTCACTCTCTCTACTGTGTGATTCAGTATAACGCAGGTCATCGATCTAGTAGAGGGCCTTAGATGCGCTGTCCTCCCCCTGCTGTGTGAACGCTTCATCAAGGTGTAGCTCAGGGATTGTCTATTGGCCCCGTAAGTCCAGAAAGATGGGCGGTTCTGCCGCAGGAAAGCTCCTATCGCAGCGAGAACCCAGGAGAAAGGGGAGAATGACAAATCAGATGATGAAGAAAAAGGTGATTTCTTACTCAAAACAGCTGGTCTCATGGGGATGCTTGGGTTACCTTGGGTGTCATAATGTCTATCTAAACTAAAGGCAATTATATTATCCTGCTGCCGTTGCATTAAATGGCTCCCCCTATACATAAATGCATTATATGGACCTATATGTGACGAGTACTGAGGATACGAAGAGGCAGGACACAGACGGAGGAATCAACAAGGTAAAGGTTTACTTAACAATGAGAAAGAGAATAACAACGCACAAGTAAACGACACAACGCTAACAATTACACACAACAATGACGGAACAGTCCAGGGTTATATAGTGGTGGTGATGAGATGATGAGATGATGAGGTGCAGGTGCGCTGGAGGTGATTAGGGTGCGTTGGGTTTCCATTCCTGTGTTACCGAGGTGGTGCGCTCAGACCGGTAGCTCAGTAGACCGGCGAATCAGAGCGCCGGAGGGGAGCAACTTGAGGTGACGTGACACTATACATAATTTTGACTGTCTGTCACGTAATCTTTTGACATGGAGAAGATCTTAATTGCATACTCCTCCCATCCCCTCTCCTTGTCTCCTTCTCAAAACCCATAGGATGAGAAAGCCAGAGGTCCCGCCCCTTTGACCTTTTCATCCAATGGGTTTTGAGAAGGACACGAGGAGAGAGGACGTGAGGACGTGAGGAGTATGCAATTGAGAACGTCCCATGGCATGAGATCAAACTGCCATTTTCTAAAGAAAAGTAATGTGCTTGGTCAAGAACACACTGTAATATTGTATGTTGACACACTTTTTATAATTTTTCCAGAATACATGAGCAGTCCGGAACCCGCACCGTTTGGGAGTGTCCCTTACATTGCTCAACCTCACCCGGAGAAAGCTAGCCACACAGGTCAGTGTCAGTGACACCACTCAAAGTGCAACGTTGCCTTTTTTGATGTGGGGTCTGTTCAGAAGGGTTCAACGTTACAAATCGTTGACATAGAAATGCATTTTGTAGAACAGATATGATTTTCTGTCATGCAGAATTGGGCATGTCAACTGTATTCATAAATGTTTCATCTGCAACATTCAGAATTATTCATATCTCTGAATACATCCACGGTATCGTCTTGTTCACAGTGACATTTAATCCTTTCAGCTTTCCTGGTGAAAATGAGAGAGTCAGAGGTAGCCTTTCCTCACAAGTGAAGGCTCATCATGAAAAGAGCTACTGAGAGATTGGATGTTTTGAATATTTTTCAATAAATATGTGAGTTGCCTTGTCTGAGAACATTTTGGGTGATTTGTTTTAGTACTGCAGAGGAAAATGCACTGGTTTAGTTTTGTCCTAAACTCAGACAGTCCATAAATCATCATAATATATAATATAAATTCATACTGCTTGACAACACACAAATGGGGACATAATATGAATCCTTTATTAAAACTCCTCCTCCGGCACATCAGTATCACAGCACACACCCACTGTAACCCCATTGGCCAATAAACCATTCATTCATGGATAAAATGCTGTAACTATCCAGCTGACCCAGCCTGGTCTCATAGACTAGATGTAACATAGTAAATGTAAATCCGGGACACTCAAATTAGTATGATATGTTACGTTTGGTATGGTTACATAAGACCGATGGTTACTTGTTAAGGCAAAAATGAAAAAAGGGTGGTTGGTCGGAGTGGATGGGTTGGCGTATAACGCGAACGTCTAGCAACCCAAAGATTGCGAATTCGAATGTCATCACGGACAACTTTTTAGCTAATTAGCAACTTTTCAACTACTTTCTACTTTTTAGCTACTTTGCAACTACTTAGCATGTTAGCTAACCCTTGCCCTAACCCTAACCTTAACCCTTTTAGCTAACCCTTCCCCTAACCTTAACCATTTTAGCTAACCCTAACCCTTTAACCTAACTCCTAAACTTAACCCTTAACCCTACCCATAGCCTAGCTAACGTTAGCCAGCTAGCTAATTAGCAAATTCGTAACATATTGTACGTTTTGCAAATTCGTAACATATGATATGAATTGTAATTTGAAACATAGCATACAGAATGCTGAAAGTCTGTTGTAAATTAGTTTTCTGTAAAATAGCATTGTATCTGGTCAAACACAATTTTCTACTAAAGTTTACTAAGGGTTTGTAACAGGCTGATTGGTCGCTATTTGAGCCAGTAAAGGGGGCTTTACTGTTCTTAGGTAACGTAATGACTTTTGATTCCCTCCAGGCCTTGGGGCACAAAATGTGCTAACATTTCTAAAAACATTTTTTCACTTTGTCATCATGAGGTATTGTGTGTGTAGATGGATGAGAAAAAAAAATATTTAATCCATTTTGAATTCAGGCTGTAACACAGAAAATGTGCAATAAGTAAAGGGGTATGAATACTTTCCGAAGGCACTGTATGTTCCATTCTCCTTTCTCTTGTTTATATTATGGCTGTATATTCCCACTAATATTCTTATTAATTCTATAATTAATATTTTACGTGTGTATTTTTCTGTCTTTATTATAATAATAATAATATTTTATTTGTAGAGCGCATTTCCTACATTCAATGCACATGTGAAGCTTGTTGGGGCTTACTCCTGTGCGCAGATCAATTCACGGCTGCAGTTTGAGGTTATTTATTCCCTTTTATTGATGAAAGGAAGCTGATACTGGCCTTCATTATTTATATTGTAGCTTAATTAAATTGATTTATATTACAGTGTTTCTAATCCTAGAAAAACGAAAAATACTTTTCACAGTAGCCTAAAACATCCTTTAATACATTTGAAGTCTTAGAAACTACATATCCTAATGTTAGAAAGTAGAATATAAACTAGATATAGGCTACTGTGGGTGGGGTAGGCTAAATAATTACAACTGAATAGGCCTATTAAAATAATAGTGATAAGGGAAATGAAATAGAGAGAAGGCCGAAAATATTTAAAAAATCTACTCAATTAAGCTTTGCTACTCGCTCCACACTTGCCCACTTACATGCTCTGGCATTCAAAAGCAGCCATGCTTTAGGCTATGAAAGAACGGAATCATATTAATGGATGATATCAGCAACCATTACATGGTCTGACAAGCTGCATAACAAATCAGGCCTAATTAGACAAAATAACAATTATCTTGTTGAAACGACTTAGTATCTCGTTTAAACGACTTAGTAAAAAAAAAAAGTTTTTACTTTCCTAAAACAATAATTGTCCACCTCAAGGTTCAGCTGTCACAGATTTTAATATCAGGGCATTTGCATGCATTTGCCTATAGGCTTAGGCGTTCACTGTATTATATTAATAGGAAAAAATATATAAAGGAAGACAAGCTTAGGCCTAGCCCCAGAGAGAGAGAGATAGCGATATGCTGGCGGCATGCGACACCGATATTAATTTCTTTATACTTGTCAGATAGGCTGCGTCTGTTATAGGCTACAGATAGGCTATAGGCGTACAGAAGGAGGCTAATTCGTAAATGTTCTATTCAAATATTTTTATAAAGATAAGCATTATATTGTTAGATTATAGGAGTAACACTGGGAGGCCTAAAACATTTTTCCTCACCTCAAGTTCAACTGTCGGAGTCAGTTGGAGCGCTGGTTGGCACTGCCTTCATATCATAGGCCTGCAGTATAATAGGCTAATAGCCACACCACACCAAACCTTCACAAAGGTTTTCAACTTAATTAGGGTAATATCAAAAGTAAGTCAAGCCATTGTTTATAGGGAAAATACGAACAAGATATTATTTTGCGGCAAACACATTACAGTTGGAACTTAATTTGGCCAAAGAAAATGGCTCAACAGAATGAAACAAAACACATGCAAACTGGTTTAAACCTTCACAAACGTTTTGAACAGGCTATATTGCTGCAATTATCAAGAAAGGCTAGTGCCTACCTTACCCAAGAAATGACAGCAATAGGTTGATTATATTTATTTGACAACAGGCCTACTTATAACCTTTCTTAAACTAAATTTGGCGCACACAATTAAAAAGATAATTCTAACTTAATTTTGGCAACAAATGTCTCAACAGAATTAAACAAAACACATTTTGCATATTTAAAGAACTGGTTAAGATTAACAAATTGGCCTTTAATAATAACATTTATATACAATAATAATTATAAAACAAATTATTATAAATACGAAATACACATTTGTTGACCTAAACTTCCCAAATTCCATCCTACCTGAATAGTGAGTTGCACATTAGCCTGCATTTGGTCACACCAACATTCTTCTCATCTTTGTTCACTACAATATTAAAACTTGTCCATATGGAGGACATTCCCCTTGTAGCAGGGCTCCAGACTAACATTTTCCGCTGAGCCACTAAGTTTTTTAGTTGGTGGCACCAGCCCATGATTTGGTCGCACAATTGTTTTTTCTTTTGTGGCATCTGTCACGATCGTCGACTGAAGCGGACCAAGGCGCAGCGTGATAGGCGTACATACTTTATTGAAGTGTACACACGAACCAAAACAACAAAACGATACGTGAAGTCCTAGGTCATAACACAAACCACACGGAACAAGATCCCACAATCAACTACTGAAAACAGGCTGCCTAATTATGGTCCCCAATCAGAGACAACGAACTACAGCTGTCTCTGATTGGGAACCACCCTGGCCAACATAGAAATAAACGATCTAGAACAAAACCCATAGAAAACTAAACATAACAAGTCCACACCCTGGCTCAACATTTAAGAGTCCCCAGAGCCAGGGCGTGACAGCATCACGCAATACAAAATGTGTAGGCCTAATTCACAGTGCTTTATCAAAAAGTGTAATAGACTACTGAGATGGTATTGAAGATATAAGTTGTTTCATCATCTTTTCATGTTGTGATTCAAAATATTTTTATGTGCAAAATGTGCAACCTAATCCAGTGATTGTCATGCATTTTGGGTAGACAATTATGCTAGTGTTGTTACATTTTACTGTTAAACTAGGGCTCCAAATTTTTATTTTTATTTTTTTGTTATCTGGTGTCCTGTGTGAATTTAAGTATGCTCCCTCTAATTCTCTCTCCCTCCCCTCCCAGAGGACCTGAGCCCTAGGACCATCCCTCAGGACTACCTGGCCTGATGACTCCTGGCTGTCCCCATTCCACCTGGTCGTGCTGCTGCTCCAGTTTCAACTGTTCTGCCTGCGGCTATGGAACCCTAACTTGTTCACCAGACATGCTACCTTGTTCCGGACCTGCTGTTTTCAACTCTCTCTCTCTACCACACCTGCTGTCTCGACTTCTGAATGCTTGGCTATGAAAAGCCAACTGACATTTACTCCTGAGGTACTGACATGTTGCACTCTCTACAACCAATGTGATCATTATTTGACCCTGCTGGTCATCTATGATTGTTTGAACATCTTGATGAACAATCTGGCCTTAATGGCCATGTACTCTTATAATCTCCACCCGACACAGCCAGAAGAGGACTGGCCACCCCTCAGAGCATTGTTCCTTTCTAGGTGTCTTCCTAGGTTCCTGCCTTTCTAGGGAGTTTTTTCTAGCCACTGTGCTTCTACATCTGCATTGCTTGCTGTTTGGGGTTTCAGGCTGGGTTTCTGTATAAGCACTTTGTGACATCTGCTGACGTAAAAAAGGGCTTTATAAATACATTTGATTGATTGATTGATTCAATAGAGATGAATTTGCCTGCATCTTTATGTGCTCTGCTAATTTATTTGGGGCTAATTCACCACCTGAGTAAGTGGAAACTCAAAACATCACTAACTCAAAAGATAGTACCCACTCATAGTAGCCATGTATTAACCTAACATTACATTTATGTCCCAAAAAAACGTAGCAGTTGTAGCCTACCGCCCAATGAGGCCTATGCACTCTTAATGGCCAATGCGCATTTGACGTGCTCCGTATCTCAAAGCCATATC